GAATTGCAAGTCCTGGTGAAAAAAATCAATTCCCCAAGTGCACGAATTGCAAGTTCTGGTGAAAAAAATCAAAGCGGTGAAAATAGACATTCCTGAAACGTTTCAAGTTGGTGCAATCATTGCTAAGTTACTTGCACAGTTCTGATGACTTTTCCTTGGAGAAAATCCAGAAACATCTTCGAATCGAGGAGGAATCGAAGGAGAGGGAAAATGGGTCTTTCCAAAGCCAATGATGTGAAAACCTGGACATTGTGCTCGAGATTGCAGGCAAAATAAATCAAAAAAGGAGATCAATGCAGTAAATGCTAATGATGATATAATTGCTACTGTGAGCGAAATTATGGCAATCAAAGGCAAAGTCCAAGGCTGGTGGTATGATACATGTGCCACGGTTCATGTCTCATATGACAGGGCTGCATTCAAAACATATTCTGAGACAAATGATGGACAAGAAGTACAAATGGGAAATGAAGTACGATCCAAAGTTGTTGGAACCGGAACGGTCGAACTCAACTTCACTTCTGGAAAGAAAGTTACTCTTGTTAATGTGCTTCATGTCCCAGACATGAATAGGAATCTTGTTAGTGGGGATTTATTGGGAAAACCGGGTATTAAATCTGTGTATGAATCGGGCAAACTTATTTAGACCCGTAATGGTGTGTTTGTTGGAAAAGGATATTCCGCTGAAAGAATGATCAAACTATGTATTACTGATAACATGATTAATGAAATTTCTAATTCTGCTTACATGCTTGATTCAGTTACTTTATGGCACAATAGACTAGCACATATTGGTATTAGTTCAATGAAGAGACTAATTAAATTTGGCTTGATATCATGTAATATCAATGATTTCAATAAATGTGAATTATGTGTTAAATCAAAAATGATTAAGAAACCTTTTAAAAGTGTTGAAAGAAATACAAATCTGCTTGATCTTGTACATTCAGATTTGTGCGAATTTAATGGCATGTTGACCCGTGGGGGAAATAGATATTTCATTACATTTATTGATGATTGTTCTAGATACACTTATGTATATCTCTTAAAGCATAAAGATGAGGCTTTTAATGCCTTTAAGAGTTATAAAGCAGAAGTGGAAAATCAATTAAGTAGAAGTATAAAAGTTCTTAGGAGTGATAGGGGCGGTGAATACTTTTCTACTGAATTTGATGCATTTTGTGAAGAACACGGTATAATACATGAATGTTCGGCACCTAGAACACCACAACAAAATGGCATAGCCGAAAGAAAGAATCGAACATATCAAGAAATGATGAATGTCATGTTATTGCATTCCGAACTACCTTTCAATTTGTGGGGCGAAGCCTTATTATCCGCTTGTCACATAATAAATAGAATTCCCTTAAAGAAAACTGGAATTTCTCCATATGAGGTATGGAAGGGCATGACACCAAATATTGGCTATTTTAAGGTGTGGGGGTGTGTGGCATATTACAAAAACATGGATCCTAAGAGAACCAAGTTGGGTCCTCGAGGGATAAGATGTGCCTTTGTAGGATATGCACAAAATAGCAAAGCATATAGACTTTTAAATTTAGAGTCTAATATTATTGTTGAATCCCGGGATGTAGAATTCTTTGAAAAACTTATCACTAAGGATAAAGAATCAGAGTCGGCCATAAATAAAGAATCTTGTGAAAAAGACTCTTCTCGGATTGTAGAAATACAACTTGAAGGCACATCTCGAATCATTGAACCACAACCCGAACCTAGGATAAGCAAAAGAGTCCGGAAAATAAAGAACCTAGGACCAGACGAAATTGATTCTCAATCCATTTCATTTTATCTGGTTGAAGGAAATAGTACAAATTTTATTAAAAGCATTCCGGCAATTCTTCAAGTAGGGGAAGATCCTAAAACTTATAAGGAAGCAATAGCTTCAAGAGACTCCTCCTTTTGGAAAGATGCTATCCGAGATGAAATGGATTCAATTATGTCCAACCACACTTGGGAACTTGTTGATTTACCAAAGGGATCAAGACCCATTGGATGCAAGTGGGTGTTTAAAAAGAAATATCATAGTGATGGTACATTAAACACTTATAAAGCAGGATTAGTGGCAAAAGGATTTAGACAAAAGGAAGGTATAGATTATTTTGACACTTATGCACCTGTAGCAAGAACAACCACTATAAGGTTGTTATTTGCTTTAGCATCTTTGAATGATCTGATTGTTCATCAAATGGATGTTAAAACAACATTCCTAAACGGAGACCTCAATGAGGAAATCTACATGGAACAACCAGAAGGATACGTCCTTCCTGAAAATGAACAAAGGGTGTGCAAACTTGTCAAATCTCTATATGGCTTAAAACAAGCACCAAAACAATGGCATCAAAAGTTTGATTCTACGATAATGTCAAATGGATTTATTCCTAATTCTTGTGACAAGTGTTTATATACAAAAGTGTATAATAACACTGTAATATTTTTGTGTCTTTATGTTGATGACATGCTAATAATTAGCAATAAACTTAATGGAATTTTAGAAACAAAAAGGTTTCTAACTTCCACTTTCAAGATGAAAGATCTTGGACTTGTTGACACAATTTTAGGAATAAAAGTTAAGCAAAATAGTGGGGGTTATGAACTTAATCAAACACATTATATTGAGAAAATGCTTGATAAGTTCAAACACCTGAAATTCAAGGAAGTAACTACTCCATTTGATCATGTAATCAAACTTGAAAAGAATGATGGAAGAGCAGTGGCTCAATTAGAATATGCAAGTGCGATTGGATGTCTTATGTACTTAATGCAATGTACTAGACCCGATATATCGTGTGCAGTTAGTAAAATGAGTAGATTTACTAGTAATCCAAGTAATGAACATTGGAAGGCAATCACGAGGATATTTGGTTATTTGTTGAAAACCAAAGATCTTGGCCTTCATTATGGTAGGTTTCCTGCTATATTAGAAGGATATACCGATGCAAGTTGGATCTCTAATGTGGGAGATTATAAATCTACAACTGGGTGGATATTTACACTAGCTGGAGGAGCAATTTCTTGGAAGAGCAAGAAACAAACATGCATTACTCTTTCGACCATGGAATCAGAGTTCGTGGCTCTCGCTTCCGCTAGTCAAGAGGCAGAGTGGTTGAGGGATCTTCTTTTGGAAGTTCCATTGGCTAAAGACAATGTTTCAAAAGTAATGAACACTGCGACAGTCAGGCCACTTTGGCAAGAGCATTTAGCGAAGTGTATAATGGAAAGTCTAGGCATATAGGACTTAGACATTCGTTCGTGAGAAAACTGATTAAGGATGGAATCATTTCACTTACGTATATACGAACAAGCTATAATTTGGCTGATCCGTTTACTAAGCCACTGGCCAGAGACTTAGTAAAAACAACCTCAAGAGGTATGGGGTTGAAACTCCTTGAGTAAGAGTTCCGACAACGGCAGCAACCCAATCTTAAGTTAACAGAACATTAACTTTAAGATTTTCAATGGGTAATAACAAGTCGTTGATTTGGATAATTGTCTAACATTTCGTAATTATGTTGACATTGGAAATGAGGGTTGAGTTTTATTTTAAACTCTTAATGAAGTTCAATACCGAGGGTACGTATCCATTGGAAACAGATACTATATGAACTTCACCTATGTGAATTCTGAGATGGTGCCGTCTCAAAGTGAGAGTTGGAGTTTCTCTCATAAAAAATTCATGAAACAGGATAGCACATGGCCATAAATAAGTGCTAAGTGAGTTATGCAGAGGAAGAATCTTTAAGGAGTGTGTGTAAGGTAACACCGGTCTATTCATATGGATTCATGGTTTAAAATCTTTGCTACCTAATGTTCCGATTAAACCTTGTGTTATCCTTACTAAGGTTAAGTTTAAAATCGAAAGATACTTAACTGTATTAATACTCCTTATGTCTCATTTCTGGAATTATTATTTTGTCATTATTAGAACAAGTGGGGGATTGTTGGAAATAATGAAGATTTATTTTCATTAAAGTTGTTCCAAAATGACAAAGTGGGTGATATAGTTAATTGACAATAAATGCTTAGTCCCACATTGGAAGTGGAGTAAAATTAAATAGCATTTATAAGGCCCTTGGAACAATGTACTTTCCAAAGGAGGCAAAGAGGATAAAGTGTCACATAGTCATATGTGGTGGTGCCAAGACTTATGTCACTTGTCTCATAAAAAACACCCCTCGCCGCCTAGCGACACCGGCTCCGGCTCCAGAACCGGATCCGAGAGTGTGGGCCTAGGGGCGCTATTAAAAATTAATTTGGTTATGAATTTTTAGCACCAAAGCATTTCAAAAAATGAAAAGGCTCTACTTGCTTCAACTTGCAGAGGTAAAACTTGATGAAGATTTTGAACATGTTTCAAGAAATCTGAGATGGCTGTTATGGGATGGATTAAGTCACATACCTACAAACTTCTATCAAGAAAATTTGGTTTCCATCGAGTTAAAGAACTGTAATGTGGAACTTCAATGGAATAAGACTCTGGTATTATTTTTCATTTTAGTTTTTCACACTTCATTTTATCACTTCTCATATTTCTGGTTGAAATTTAAATATATAAATCACAGCCTTTCACGGTAATAATTAATTTTTTAATCTGGTTGTGATAATGGAACTTTTTTAAGCATTTAACAATTAATATAGTTGGATGATAGTACACCATGAAAGCTACTACAACTACTGCATGTCAAACATATAATTTATCACCTAAATATTGTGCAAAAACTTTGATATAGCAAAAAGAAGGGGGCAAAAATAGTTGATTTTTTACTATTTGATTAAAAAAACTCTAAATTTACATTTCAAATTTATGAGCTAAGTAGAATTCTCAGACAATGTTAATAACTTGTGCAATATTATACGCAGAAATTGGATATATTTCTTTGTGGAACTATGAAAGATTTTCATGTGATGTGTTTCCATCTATAATTTGGTCTTGGGTGTCACCAACATATAGTCTCCCCTCCTAATTTCAAACATCTACTATCATGTCATCTCTTGATAGTTCTCAAGAACTATCAACTTTTTCTAACTACCTTCCGAGGCTTCGAAGTCTTTGGGTGGATTTCAAATCTGAAGATCAACTTGCTTTACATGCTAAAATAATTTTGGATGCTTTATGTGTCACAGTTTCTAAGGATTTGGAATCAACTGCAACTACATCACAATTATCAAGCAGTAGTCAAGTGCATGTTTTAGGATCAAACCATTGCTTGAAGTCTCTTTTAATTCAAATGGGAATGAATTGCCACGTCACTAATTTTCTGAAAAAGAAAATTTTACAGGTTTGACAATCTCTCTATCACCCCTTTTTATGATATCAGTCATTGACAACTTACATGACATATGTATGGGTGTATTGAAGAATTATCGTCTTTGCTCTTTTTTTCCCCCTAAAGATACACTCTATTTTTTGGTATGGTTTAATTTAATTTAATTTTAAATGGCTCTGATACCATCATAGAGTTGTGGTTTGACTTAACTTAGTCATACAAAACCGATTCATAAGAAAGATTACCCTCATTTATAAACATATGTTAAAATCACATCACGTGAGGAGGGATTTTTAACACATAACTGAAATGTCAGTTATTTTATAAGTAAAATTTTCTGTTAAACCTTTAGTGATGCATAAAAAGTGCGAGTGTTAACAACAACAAGAACATTCATATTTGAATACTTGTAAATCATTGGAACCACGCCTTAATGAGCTGTAATTTGTTGACATTACAAAATATTTTACAACAGATACTTCTGACCCATGAGAACACGAGCATGCATCTTCCATGCTAGTTATAATATATATTGGATTTACAAGTAATCCATGAATATGAGTTTTGCTTTTGGTGGCATGTAGAGTTGTGACATCTCTTGCATGCACTTTGTTTATAGAAATTGACATTAATTGTTAAACCCTTGCATTTTTAACTTAGCTTTACTTTTACAGAACATGAATGTCAATGAGAGCGATGTTTGTTTTCTACCCGGTGATAATTATCCAAATTGGATAACCTTTCATTCTGAAACCTCTTCTGTAACCTTTCAAGTCCCTCAAGTGGAAGAGCGTAACTTGAATACAATGATGTGCGTTGTCTATACTTGCACTCTAGACGGCATAGCATCCGATGGGCACCTTAAAAGTGTGTTAGTGAAAAATTACACAAAGAGTACCATTCAGCTTTATAAGAGAGAGACATTAGCCTCCCTTGAAGATGATTTTAGTGAGGAGGGGCGGAGGATAGTATTGAGCATGGAACCCGGTAACAAAGTGGAGGTTGTCTTTGTTTTTGAGAATAGTTTCATTGTGAAGAAGATTGCAGTTTATCTAGTATATGATGAACCGGTTGGTGAAGAACTGGAGCTACATCAAGTACCTGATCTGATAGGCATTGTTTGTAGAGATGACGAAAATGAAGCTACTGAAGAAGAGTCTGTCGATGACTTCAATCCTAACAGAAAGAAGAGAAGTCGAGTGGAATGAATCAATGAAAGAGAAGGATGCAGTGTCAGCGTGACTTCAATCCTAACATGAAGAAGAAAAGTCGAGTGGAATGAATCAATGAAAGAGAAGGATGTAGTGTCAGTGTTACTTAGAGGTGGAGGTTTTAGTTATTTTTTGTTTTACTGCTTAATTTGTTAGCCTTTTCGTTTGTTTTCGGCATGCTGTTGCTATATTACTTTGTTGGAACTTTAGTTGAGTGGAGTTGCATAGCTGATGTAAACTTCATCAGGGGTTTGGTTTCTCTTTTTTCTGCTGCAAGGAGCCTTTGGAAGCATATTTAGGCTATTTCCTTTTCTTTCCTTTTGTATTTGATATGGAATTCTTTGTTTTTCCTTGCCTTGTTGGCTTTGTAATTCTAAACTCTAATTTATTTGATATGAATTTTGATAGACATTTAACATGCTCATGTGGTAGTTGAGTTACTCACATGAAATGTGGCAACTATCTCACACATATTCACACCAAATGTTGGGACTTAAGATATTCTTAAGTCTAAAAAGTAAGTGATGTGAAGGTGTCTCAATAACACCAAAGGCTCTCGACATAGTAAGTTAAGAGGTTCAAAAGTAGTTATCAGTGAATTTATTAGCATGGTGGTTGGTTTTCAGCAGTTTTGTTATTGAAGACACGTAGAAGCAAGTTAGAGCGTCGAATCATACGTAGTGGGATATGTGTCAGATCCTGGAGATCTATTAATTGTCGATTGTTACTTTTATATTAGCATATAAGTCATCTAATAGTATGAGATCAGGGTCACAAATTTCTTTCATTCTCTATAAAACTAAAGTATTCAAGTTATAAGAGAAACAATTTATGATAAAGGTATGAGAATGCGTCCACCTTTTAAATTTTTTGAAGTATTTTAAATCAAAGCATTTATTTTATGAAATTTATTATGCTTTTTGTCTCTTTTATTTTACGAAAAGCCAATAGATTCGACGGTTGGTTATGCAGAGACTTCAAAAATTGTTGGAAAAAACCCTATTGTTATAAGCCAAGTATTAGTGTCGTCAATACCACAAAAAGTGGTGGGTTCCCTACCACAAGTAACAAGTGTGTCACTACTCATAGTGCTACACAAAGTTTGATAGGAGACCCAATGTGTAACACCCCACTTTTCCGAATTAAAATAAAATACGATTAATTCAAATAAACATCAGAGTTCTCCACTAAAGTGGGATATCACATCACATAACTCGACATACTTTTCATTAGAAGGTTCACAAAACAAAGCAGCGGAAAATAGTCATCAGTTCATCAATCTCGGTCATCCGCCAATACGTGAAAATATTCATTAATAAAATGCACCAACACATGATACGTCACAGGAAAGTAAAACAAGTTCAACTAAATCAAAAGAAAACGCACAAGTCCTGTGCTACGTATCAGAGCATCCTAAGACTCGACTCGCACACCTCTATCCAAGCTAGCTAAGTACCTGGATTATCTGTACTTCCGAAGAAGCACAGGCCACAACAACAACAACAAAGGGGTGAGAAAACATGATCAAAATATCCGGTAATACAGTACATGAAATAAAGGTAGTAATCATATAATTCATCACTCAAAATTCATCAAACACGACCTACGGTCCAACATCAACACAACACACCCTAATGCAATTATGCAACTCAACACCATGCATGCGGTACCGACTCATTGGTTCATTCAATCGAACCCCGGATAGATCACATACACCCGTCCTTGGCCATGATCTGTCCCCACCATTCTCAACAAGGGAGTACGGATGAATCACACACACTCTTCCTGAGCAATGATTCGTCCCACCAAACACCATGATATGCATAACACCAAATGCACAACAAATAAACTCAAGCACACAAGGTGCACACGATCCCCTGATCACATCACCATACATCATACGTACATATTATTCATCAATTAATTATTTTAATTAAAGTCACACGATCCCCCTGATCCCATCACCATACCCCATACATATCTCACACCCCAATCTACTTATTTCAATTAACTTCAATCACTACATAATTTAATCTTTTAATGCCAAGTATACACTCTTCACCACTAATCACCATATCTATACTGGTCACAACTCAAGGGATACTACAAAACAAGGTCACAAAGCAAAACAACACAACGTCACTTTTCTGTCACGCTCGCTGGCTCATTCGCTTAGCGAAGCCCTAGCGAACGCTCGCTAGCTGCTCGCTTAGCGACCTCCCTAGCGAAGGCAGACAGTAGCTACTGGAAGGTTTCGCTGCCCCACTCGCCTAGCGAACCTGCTAGCGAATGCTCGCTACTAGCTCGCCTAGCGAAGATGCTAGCGAGCGTCTGCGATCTCTCAAAATCCTCATTGTCCAACAATGTCATCTTGCTCAATTCCAAGCCTATCACTCTACTTCCATCTCCCATCCTATCATTACTACAACCAGTACACATTACTCTAGTCATTATTCTATCAATTTATCTCCAGAACCCACACCTATGTCCATCAATAGAACTACAGAAGTTACTCAGAACTTCGCCAGAATCACACAATCTGTGCACCCATTCATCAATGGCAGCAACAATCATAAACACATCAACATGCACACGAAATTCATCATAATCAACAACAATCAAAGACATATCAACATAACAAACATGTTCATCAAATCCCTACGGGGTTAAGGAATCCCCTCTACCCAATTTCATGTAAACACCAATCCCAATCAGTTTCTCCCTCTTACCTCGATTAGTGATCTGATTGACGAAGAACCTGAAGAATCGTTAGCCCTAGCCTTCTTCTCTCCCTCCTTGTTCTTCCTCTTTACTATTCTCTCTAAAACTGGTTTATCGTGTTCTAATCTCCCTTTTTTCCCCAAACTCTTCTAATACCCCTTTTTAATCCTTATTTCATTTTATTAATCTAATAATAATAATATAAATAATAATAATAATAATAATAATAATAGTAAGATTAATAACATAACCACATTACTATAAAGTATTATATTATTATCATTATCAATTATATTACATTAACATTAAACTCTACATTTTATTAAATGATTCCTATAAATTAAGAACACCCACCCACGCGCTCAGACACACTCCCCCACAAAGGACACACCAAAATAAAATAACACCAAAAGACTAAATAATTAAAATGGATGTTACAACTCTCCCCCACTTTAATTATTTTCGTCCTCGAATATTACCTGATGGAAACAATTTCGGATACGCTTCCCGCATCCTGCTTTCCAATTCCCAGGTCACACTGCCTCCTGTAGCACCTCCCCAAGCTACTTTCACCAAGGATATCTCCTTTCCTCGGAGTTGTTTCATTTTACGATCTTCGATCCTCAACGGCATCGTCTCAACAGTAAGATTCTCCCGGACTTGAACTTCATCTCTCGGAATCACATGAGATGGGTCTGAGACATACTTTCGAAGTTGCGACACATGAAACACGTCATGTAGATTCGAAAGCTCAGGCGGTAACGCCACTCTATAAGCTACAACACCAATTCTCTGCAAAATCTGATACGGTTCAATAAACTTAGGATCCAGCTTCTTGGATTTCAACGCACGACCCACATCGGTCACTGGGTTAACTCTTAGAAACACATGATCACCTTCATTGAATTCCATTTCCTTCCTTCGGTTATCATGGTAACTTTTCTGCCTACTCTGAGACGCTTTTATTTTCTCACGAATCATTTGAATGGTCTCAGTAGTCTGCTGCACAATTTCTGGTCCTAAGACCACATTCTCACCTGTTTCATACCAACACAGAGGAGTTCTGCACCTCCTACCGTATAAAGCCTCAAACGGTGCCATTCCGATGCTAGAATGGTAATTGTTGTTGTACTTGAACTCTATCAACGGTAAATGAATATCCCATACACCACCCTTTTCCAACACACAAGCTCTCAGCAAATCTTCCAGCGAATGAATAGTCCTCTCTGACTGACCATCAGTTTGCGGATGGTAAGCTGAACGCAACTTCAACTTAGTACCCAAAGCTTCCTGTAAACTCCTCCAAAATTCTGAAGTAAACCTCGGATCTCTATCCGACACGATACTCGATGGAACATCATGTAGCTTCACAATTACCTGAATATAAATCTCTGCCAGCTTCACCAACGGAAAACTGATATTAATCGGCACAAAATATGCAGACTTCGTAAGTCGATCCACAATTACCCAAATAGCATCAAATCCTTTCACCGTGTTCGGCAAGCCCATAACAAAATCCATAGTGATACAATCTCATTTCCAAACCGGAACTTCCAACGGTTGCATAAATCCAGAAGGTCTCTGATGCTCTACCTTCGACTTCTGACATGTCAAACAGGCGTAAACAAATTGAGTTATATCTCTTTTCATACCGGACCACCAAAATAACTTCCTTAAATCATGGTACATCTTCGTAGCTCCCAGATGGATACTCAGACTACTACGATGTCTTTCGCTCAGAATTGACTTCTCCAGTTCGTCATTATCCTGCACACAAATCCTGCCTCTGAATCTCAACACACATGCACTATCCAACTTAAAATCACTACTGGGGTCGCTCTCTACTCCAGGCATCAAATCTACTAACTTCACATCTAGCTTTTGACTTTCCTTAATCAAATCCAAGATATCATTATTCACCTGCAACTTGCCCAACATCACACCATCGGCCGTAGTCTCACAAACCATGCTCAGATCTCTGAATTGCTCAATTAGTTCCATCTCTTTCACCATTAAAGCCGACATATGAATTGCTTTCCTGCTCAAGGCGTCTGCTACTACATTCGCCTTTCCTGGATGATAACTTAAGTTGAAATCATAATCTTTCAAGAATTCCAACCATCTTCTTTGTCTCATATTTAGCTCTTTCTGATCAAACAGATATTTCAGGCTCTTATGGTCACTAAACACCTCAAACCTCGAACCATACAAATAGTGCTTCTAGATCTTCAACACACAAACTACCGCAGCCAACTCAAGGTCATGAGTAGGGTAAT